CTTTTTACCATTGCTAAATTACGTATTGCTGCCAAGTGGAGACTACCCTTTCCTCCTTCCATAGAAGGATGAATTGATAAGATATGGTACACTGCATCAGTGGTGAAGTTAACAGAATTTGCTTATCTATGGGAAAACTGACAGAAATAACAGACATTTGAACAACTCTGGATGTCATTTATTATTTATATGAAAAACTTCCAACGACTCATTTCTATAGCTCAATGTACTGTCAAAGGCACTACAGCAGGTTTTCTAGACTTTGTTTTTCTTTCTGATCAGCAAGGAATCCAGCTAAAGAATAAAAGCACCACTTGATCAAATACATTCAATTCTATCCTGTAGAAGATGCTTTCTTGGAGGTGTGGGTATGTCAAACAGGGTAGCCTTAACCTATTTATGGTGTTTACATCTCAACATACTTCTTTGTAGCTGTCATCTGTGGTCTTCCAGCATTTTTAAAACAATTGTTCTTAATGTGTTTCAATATATTTGTTTTATTATTGTTTTGATCAATTTTTATTTATCTATGATCATAAGCCACTCTGAGTGTCATATTCTTGGTGGAAAGGAAAGCTACAAATCAAAATCATTCGATATATACATTAGGTTCTTAATCAATTTACTGATTCAGCTGGGAACTACTAACCAATTTCAGAAGTGTACTAAACATAATTACATCCAGTTACTGTGGCTTAATTTCAAATACGCATACACAGGTTCAAGATATAATTCCATGTACTCCTTTGCTGTTGTTATGTGCCATCAAGGTGTCTCTTATGGCAAGGCTATGAATGAGTGCCCGCTAAAACATCCTGTCTTTGACAGCCCTGCTCAGCTCTTGTAAACTCAAGGCTGATGATTCTTTCAAGGAATTGATCCATCTCATAAGCGGTTTTCTTCTTCTGTCTTAGCATTACTGTTTTCTCTTGCCTTCTCATGATGTACTCAAAGTATAACAACCTCAGTTCCATCATTTTAGCTTCCAGGGAAATTTTTGATAGATTTGTTTGGAATAACATGGTATTTGTGAACCAAAGCTAGAGTGTTGGACTAAAACCAGTGAGACCTAATTCAAATCTCCCCTTGGCCCTGAAGCTCATTGGGTGACTTTTGGCGAATCACTGATTTTCAAGCTAACCTACCTCACAGAACTGCTGTGAGGATAACTGAAGCTCAATCCAGACAAGACGGAGGTCCTGTTGGTGGGTGGTTCGGACCTTGGGATGGGGGACTTGGGCCTTGTCCTAAATGGGGTTGCACTCCCTCTGAGGGACAGGGTTCGCAGCTTAGGCGTGCTTCTTGACCCTGAGCTGTCTCTGGAAGCCCAGGTGATGGCGGTGGCGAGGAGCGCCTTCCTTCAGCTTCGGCTGATCCATCAGCTGCGTCCCTTCCTAGAGAATGACTGCCTGGCGACAGTGACATACGCGCTAGTAACTATTTCTGTAACGCGCTCTACGTGGGGCTACCCTTGAAGACGGTCTGGATACTTCAATTGGTGCAGAATAGAGCTGCCAGATTGCTGACGGGGACTGGGCGTTGTTCTCATATAACCCCAGTTCTCTGTCAGCTCCACTGGCTCCCGATTGAAGTCCGGGCCCGATTCAAGGTGTTGGTTACGACCTATAAAGCCCTAAACGGCTTGGGACCTGGATACCTAAAGGAACGCTTGCTCCCATATATGCCCTCCCACCCCTTGAGGTCAGCAGCAGATGCCCTTCTCCGGGAACCATCTGTGAATGACATCAGGAGGGTGAGTACCCGGAGGAGGGCTTTCTCTGCGGTGGTGCTCCATTTATGGAATGCGCTCCCCAGAGAGGTCCGCCTGGCACTGTCATTATTTGTTTTTTGGCGCCAGGCTAAGACCTTTTTATTTAAAACTTATTTTAATTGTTTATTTAACTAGGTTTTTTTTAAAAAAAAATTTAGCTGAGAATGCACTGAGGTTTTATTGCACTGAGGTTTTATTGCACTGGGGTTTTATTGTATTGTTATTTATTGGTGTTTTGTGAGCCGCCCTGAGGCTTTATTGCGATGGGGCGGCATAGAAATGTTTTAAATAAATAAAAATAAAAAATAAATAAAATAACATGGAGATGAAGTCCTATATATGAGCTTGGATCCCTTGGAGGAAAAGACAAGCACTATAAACAGTTAAAAAAGGTAGTGGGAATGGAAGTAGACATCAAAAACAGAAAGAATGCATGAAGCATTTGGGCAAATTTGTAACTGTAGGAATTATTTTTCTGTCATGACACAGCCACTGATGTGCAGATACTTATTTCTGATAATCAGCAAACCATGTAGAAAATACTGCACTTCACTGGCTTTGGATGTTGCATTCTTAGAGTGCAACCTTACAGTATAACGTATACATATACTTATTTCAGAATAAAAGGGGTAGGGATTCATTCTGAGCAAGCAGGTGCTAAGGTTGTACTGTAATTGAAATAATGTGATTTTAAGGTGCAATGCTATTCATATTTGGGCAGAAATAATCCCGTAACTCCCAACAATTCCAAGCATACTTGACTGCAGAATACTGGGAGTTTTGGACTTCTGTCTAAACATGCATAATATTGCTCCTGGCCAGTATGATCCAATGTTATTCCCCCATAACTCTGAACTGAAAGGATTCGAGACATCCAATAGCACCAAGGTGGCTAAATTGAGGCTTGCGAGCCACATTCAATTCTTTGAGTTTATTTTGTGGTTTGCAGAGGGGCTGAAAAAACCTGATGCAACATCTGAGTAGCTGAGCCAGCATGTTAAAAGAGGGGCCAAAAAAAGCCCAACAGTCCAGAGCTGATTGGTTTGGCAGCGAAATGGAGGAGAGACCATGGAGCCAGCACTGTATCAGTCCTACAAACTGGCTTGGCTGTTTTTAAATGCTTGGGCCCAAGTGCATTGAGGCTATGGCTGAGAAAGGAGAGGAAATAAGAACAGTGCCGATTACCTGTGCAGTCTGAGCACTGCTCCTTTGGAGGAAATCGGGACCATGTCGGTGAGCAAAGAGTCAGTGCCAGTGCCACACCATCTGAATTTGCGGACAAGGAGGAACTATGAATGCCAGTGCCAAGTAATTATTCTATGCGCTGTGGATTAGTAGAGGGAGCCTTTTTCCTCTTAGCTTTATGGAGTGGAGGAGCCCAATGCTTTGGCCATAATAAATACATATTTGTTCATGTCACGCAGCTCTCAAACAGCTGACATTTCCCATGTATGGCTCTTCCAATGAGCAAGTCTGTCCCCCCTGCAATAGCACATGGGAGAAGCATGGAGGTAAGTACAGCCTTTGAATTTTGCTCACCATCCAGAAATGCCAACAAAGATCCAATTTGGCCACCTAAGTATTTTACATCAGCTCAAAGGAAAGGAGCCAGAGGGACTGTCAGGATCCCTTGTAGGATGGCAGTTTAGTGCCTTGCTCCTTACTCCCTCCAATTCTAAAGTTTGTCTTCTAACTTTGAAGCCACAGCTGGTGTGGAAAGAATGATGTTGGCTATGATGGGAGATGGAGGGTGCTGCAGACATAACCCCACCTCAGATACTGGACCACTTTTCCCAAGTGTCTTTCACTCTGGCTTTCCTATGTCCTTTTAGATCACATCTAATAACAATAGGACTGCTCCCTTAAAGAGTTAACTGTTGAATAGCGACAGGTAGAAATAGAACAGACCAACATTTTCCCTCATCATTCGATCTCCAACCTTGAAGGGAAGCTGTTGTTATGTGCTGCCGAGCTGTCTCCAATTTCTGGTGACCTGATGAACAAAATCCCTCCAAAATGTTCTGTTGATGACAGCCCTCCTCAGCTCTTAAAAATTCAAGGCTTCCTTCCTTCGAGTCAGTCCATCTCATATTTGGTCTTCCCTTACTTCTGCCTGCAACTTTTCCTAGCATGACTGTCTTCTCCAGGGAGACTTGCCTTCTCGTGATGTGTCCAAATTATGACAGCCTAAGTTTTGTCATTTTTGCTTCTAGGGAAAGCTTGGGTTTGATTTGAGCTAGGATCCATTTCTTGTCTTTCAGTCAGTCCAAGGTATTCAGAGCTCTCTTCCAGCACCATGTTTCAAATATATCATCCCCCCTCCCTCCAGTCAGCTTTCTTCCCTCTCCAGCTTTCATAACCAAACCAAATGATTTTCCCTAGTTCCTTCATTACTGACCCTTCCAAGTCTCATTCTTCTTCAAAGACAGCCTTTGCGCTTTGTTAACCTTCCACCCCCCACCTCCCCAAAACCCCTAAAGGCTCCAGTCCCCCTTTGAATTGATGACTGTGCCAAGATACACAATATTTTTCACAATTTCCATTTTGATTTGTGGTGTAGTAAGAGTGCAAGACTGGGAGTCAGGTTATCTGGATTCTAGTCCCCACTCGACCATGGTGCTAACTGGCTGACTTTGGGCCAGTCATAGACTTTCAGTCCAACCTATCTCACAGGGTTATTGTTGTGGGAATAAGACTGAGAGACTCACATAAGCCACCTTAAGTTCCTTGGTAGGACAAGAGGCAGAATATAACATAAATTAATAATTTAACTGCCGACATTAAAGTTCTGTACCTCTTTTGTGCATATTTGTTTTCTTAATATTCAGACAGTCCTGCTTTTGCACTTTCTTCTTTCACTTTCATCAGGAGGTGTTTCAATTCACTGCTACCTGTTATGCAACTGTTAAAGTCACCTAAGTGTCTGGCAGGAAAAACAAAAAGTTTCTGTGATCTTTGGTCTTTGCATGCGACAGACCCAAAAACCTCCACAGCGATGAATGCAATCTCAATATATCCAGAAAAGAGAGCGGGGGTCCTTTGGTGGTGTTTGTGTTTTAGCAAAAGCCTCCAACTTCAAGCCCCGAGAGAAAGAAAGCACGCACGATTAATTCTACTTTGAAATAATCCCCACTGCGTCTCCTGACTACTCCAGGAAGTGCGCTGCAGACTGCATGCTCCTCGAAAAGGTAAGATACCTGAGCTGGGCGGCTGAGAAAGGGGCCCTTACCTGGACACTTGCCCGGGAGAGGAACCTGTGCAACCTGCGCCTCTTGAGCGTAGCTCGGTCTAGCCAAGCGCTCGCTCTCCGCGGATGAGAGAAGGCGAGCAGGCCTAGCGCTGGCACCAACTAAGGGCAGGGGAAAGCCGCAGCGGCGCAAACGGGTCAGTCAGTTCGCGCCGTGCCAACCGCCTCCAAAGGCTTAAAATGGCGGCGGGCGCAGGAGCAGCCCCGAGGTAGCGCCAGGAGGGAGCTGCCGCCCTGCTCCTTTCCCGCCTTGGGCGCTGCGTGCAGGTGGGCGGAGGGGCGCTGCCCCTTTTCTGAGGGAGCACCGCCTTCCCGCCGTTCCTCTCTCATCGAGGACGGGATAAAGAGGAAGGCTTTGCCGGGCGACGGGCCGGGGCAGCGCTCTCCCTGCCAGCCCGGCGGTCTGTTGGGGTGGGTTGCCATGGCTACGAAGCGGCGCTTTTCGCGATCTGAGGCCTCACGTTGCAGAGAGAGCTGAGCTCCCTACCTTAAAAAGAAACCTCTCTTCCCGCGTCTCCGCTCCGCAGCTGCGGTGGCAGGTACCGAAAAGATCCCAGGCCCATGGGCCACAAATCAATACATAAAAGCGCAAAATAGCACGTGCTTATTTGCATAGACTCTAAAAGGACCTTTTTTTCCTAATGCCTCTCCTATTTCTAAAAAGGGATGGATGGGAAGAGGAGGGAGTCTGATTTCAGAAGAATACAGGAAGGAAATTTCGTGGGGTGGGGGGGAGCAGCAGGAGGGCAACCTGTAGGCTAAAAACCTGCTAATCCAGGGGAATCAGATGCAGCAGAAGTTATCAGGCCCGCTGTACCAACACTTAAGCAAATGCCCATGTTTGATGTGACAGAGGACCTCCCGAAGATTTGGGAGCGCCATATGAAAGATTTGGGGTCTCAAAACAGCCTCTGCACGGATAGTGTCGGGCAAGTTGAGATGGAAGAACGAACCTGGTTGTGTGTTATGCTTTTTGCTGAACAGTTCCTTCCACCGAATCACACCAGACACAAACACATACAAGTTTATTTACTGTGCAATTGTAGTTTTCCCCAACCAAGCACCCTCTGGAAGGCAGGAGTGTCAGGAATGCTGAAAAAAATCTTGAGGGCATCAGGTTTTCGGAAGACTGCTATTTGTGTCTACCCAAGAAGTCCTACTGAGTTCAGTGGGTCTTACTCCTAGAAAAGTGGGTATTATGTTGAAGTCTTAACCTAGATTAAAACATTTTGTTTATCTTATTGAAGCAGCAGTTGGACAGTAGGAGCAGCAAGACAGAAATTGAATTCTTTCCTCCTTTCCTTTTATCAAAAATATTCTGGGAAAACCATCCACAGCACAGCCTGAGCTATGCAAACCAACCTTATTTACACACATAACAGTAGCACATAACTGGATAGAATTGATGCAGTAAACTCTAAAGCATCCACAATAAGCATGTTTCAGGAATAATTCTGGATAATAGATAGTATTCAAAGAAGATGCCAAATTTTGAGGGAGTAAAATCAGCCAAAAATACCCTTCACACATCAGTAGATTGGAACAGTGCATTAAGGCACAAAACTTTCACAAAATCCAATATCTGGTATCTGTTCTGAGCTATAAACGTATTCATTAGTTATCAGTGAATATGATACACAGTGCCCAACCCTGTCCAGCAGATGGATTTCTACTTTAGCATCCATATATGAATTGTAGATTCCTAAAATGGTTGAGTTGGTAGGGGCCCATAAAGCCATTGGATCCAATCCCTTGCTTAGTGCAGGACTGCAAGGTAAAGCACCCTTAGCACATGGCTATCTTTAATGCCTCCAATGTGGGAGAGCTTATGACCTCCTTAGGTAATTGGTTCTATTATCATATAGCTCTAGCGGAAGGTTTTTCTGATGCTCATCCAGAAGCTGGCTTCCTATAAGTTCACGCCATTATTCTGCACTCTGTGATGACTGAGAAAAGAACCTGGCCCTCTTCTGTGTTACAACTTTCAGGTACTTCCCTCAGTTTTCATGAGGCTAAGCAAGCCCAATTCTTTCATCTCTTCTCGAAGAGATTTGTTTCCAGTCCCCTGATAATCTTCATTGCCTGCTTCTGAACTTTTCCCAGTTTGTCTGCACCCTTCTTAAATGGTGGTGTCCAAAACTGGACTCAGTCCTCAAGATGACTAGCCAGTGCTGAACGGGGAGAACTAGTAGTTTGTGTGATTTGGAAGTGTTAGTTGATGCAACCCAAAGTGGCATTTGCCTTTTTTGCAGTTGCATCACATTGTTGACTCATATTTACAGCATTTGATCTACAGCAGTTCTAGTATTCTTATTGCTTGTAGTATTGTTGAGCCAAGTATTCTCCGTCTTGTAACTATGCATTTGGTTTCTTTTTCCTAGGTGCAGAAGTTTGCATTTGTCCCTATTAAATTCCATTCTGATTTTAGTCCAGCTTTCTGAGTATGGATGCCAGCAAAAACTCTTGTTCTGCATGTACTGGATCCTATAGCATCTCTTAATAAGAGTTTGTCTAAATAAGCTAATTGCTGGAAGTGTAACACAGCTAATGTTTTTTTTAACTATATGTTTTGACACTGCCCAATACTTGCTACCTTGGAGAAGGTTATTATATATTATTAGCATTATTATATATATTAGCATTTATGCTATTCCTTTTGTGTTTTGCCTGTTCTTGCAAAGCAAGCTGAGCTGAGAGGAAGTCTGAATGCCCACAGAATGAAGGGCACGCAACCAGCAACCTTCTTCAGCATCAGGTGCAGCTGCCCAAATGGTAGCTGCAAGTGGTTCAGGGGACAGCGACTGCTTGTGGAGCAGTCGTGGGGGACCCATTCTTGCTGAGGCTCTCACAATCAGCCTTCTCTGGCCCTAGATGGAACTGCTCAAATGGAGAGGGAAGAGAAGGGATGCTGCTTGCACAAAGCTCTCGGTTCAATTCCTGGCAAGCACCCCATGAACATTGGACTCACTTGCTAGGAACTTAGACTCTGGGCCACTGCAAAGCAGATCATTGTTCAGGGAGCTGAGCCTAGTGAATCTGATGGACTCCCACCCCCAACAGATTCCCCACACATCCCTCAGCACAGAACCACCGGTCAGCACCTCCCATGACTTCTTGTGATAAACTCACTCAGAGGCTTTGTTGTAGTCTGTAAAGCACAGAGTGATCTTTTGAAAGTCATTGGTGTGCTACAGTAGCCAAAATATTTTTCCAATCTGATCTTGTTTGCCTCTTCTGTTTAGGAATCCTGCTTGAACATCAGACATTTCTCTCTCCAGACAGGGCAAAATTCATTGTTGGAGCACCTTGAGCTCACTTTGCTTGCATGGGAAATTAACGCAATGGACCTAAGGTTGCTGTACTCTTTTGTTTCACCTTTCTTGGAAATTATAATGCATATTGAATGTTTGCAGTCTGTGAGGCACTTTTTTGTTTTCCATATTTGTTGGAATAGTATTATTAGGATCTGGAGTGGTTCAGGCTTTGCCATGTGAAATAGTTCTAGTGGTATCCCATCTGTTCTTGGTGCTTTGTTGCTTCCAAGTGCGTTTAAAGCACTTGACATAGCACATTGTAAGACTGAAGTTCATAGAACAAGATGTTGTGATGGCCAGCATCTCTCGAAAGTTTTAAAGGGGGATTAGACTAATTCATGACTTATTCTTGTCTGAAAAAGTATCAGGAGCAATACGCATCTGAATGCCAGTTGCTGGGAACAAGCAAGAGGGTACTATTGTACTGATATCCTGCTTGTGGGCTTTCCAGGAGCATCTGGTCAGCCATTGCACAAACAGAATGCTGGACTGAACAGGTCTGATATAGTATGGCTTTTCTGTTCAAGAAAACATGGCACTAGGCCAAGCATGGTTCCCAGGGACGAGGCAAGTTTTGGAAGGCTGGAAAGAAAATATACTAGTGTTAGAAAATTTCTTATAAAAATCAGAGACATATACTTGTCTTGTGTAGTGTCTACATTTCCAATTTTTAAAAAAAGCAGTAGACCAGTTGTTTCATTTCAGAGCTCTCTGATACTGATTACCAGTATTGCAAATTACTGTGTGATTACTCCACATAACTACACTGCCACATATGAATGTTCTGAAATATATTTGATCCATTGACAGGGACAGTTTTGATCTATAAAACATGTCTCTGAACATGTCTTCCTGTAACAAAGAACAGGTTGTGGGCTCCTTGGCTAGGGAAGGGTTAATACTTGATACAGAGGCCTAGCCTCTCCAGCCAGGTGGTGGATCAAGGAAAGCAAAGTGCCAAGGCTGCATAAATGCTACCCCCCCCCCCCGCAATAGTTCCTGGAATGCAAAAGCCCTAAGAAACTGAAAATTATTTTCAAGCACAGAACCATTCATACTCACCTCCAAGGCCAGAGGTTTTAGGCCTAAAGGGTATACAATTCTCACCTGGGTAATGTCAGGAGATGTCATTCCATGAGTCATCTGCTTGATCTAATGGGATAAAAGCAGGGAGGTTCCCTGTTGCTGCCAGAGGCTCCGGAAGAATGCTGTGTTGTTTTCCAAGGAAGAAGGCTACATTGGGTACTGTATTCCATGTTAGTATTAGGAACTGCTGGCTTTGTTATTTTGAGTCCGAGGTGGCCAACTGGCCTGGGGGATCTCATGGGGAGCTAAGGCTGTGTGAGTCCAGTGAAATTGCTGCTCTCCAAACCCCTGTTCCCTTCCCCACTCTCACTGTTGTGTCTACTGTGTGTTATGGTGTTTTCAGACCCTTCACCCCATCTTGTTTACCTTGCCTTTTAATAAAGAAGTTTTCCCCAATGCCTGGGTTGTCATGTGCTGAATTCAGTGTCTGGCCCTGGGATTTGGGGACCAGGGTGGAAAAATCAACCCTGTCAGCAGCGGGAGGCGGGGGTGGGGGGGACTCTGTGGCGGCTGATAGTTACAGTTCCATTGCAAGGATCTGTCAGTTATATATCCAGTCTCAAACCCACATTTTTGTTAAGGAATCAGAATGGCTTAGATTTGGCATTTTTCTCCTTTTTTAAAAATGGAAAGGCCTCTTTAGTTTAACATCACTGTCAATGGTATGTGAATGCTTTTTGATTTCTT